GTATACATGATGTGACTCATTTTCGAATCCCACTTCAGCATTATTGGAATGCGAGTCCTCTATGGAGCATTGGCCGTTGAATTTCTTAACCATTACTCTCCTGCCTTTTAAATAGTTGATTGCACACCAATCTTCGTCTTTTTCTCTCACGTTCATTTTTGTGATGTTTGATACACTCTTTTATGGTGGTATTAAGAACTTGAAATCAATTTTTATCTATATAACACATAAAAAAAAAATAGACAAAAGATCACCAATACAATTATTTAATATGTATATATATATTTTTGTTTTTTACTTAATTATTTCACTTATTGAATATAAGTTTTTAAACTTTTTATTTAATTATCTTAATTTTTATTTTTGACATTAAATGTGTTATTTCTAATTTATCTCAACGCAAAAAGAGAAGGCCAGCATGGTTAGAGGATTATAAGGTAACAGATCTACCTCAAGATGATGTTCCATTTACTTATTTTACTCTATTTGCAGATTGTGATCCATTGACATATGAAGAAGCTAATAAAGAAGAAAAGTGGCAAAAAGCCATGCAGAAGAAATTGGTTCTATTAAAAGGAACAAGACTTGGGAGTTGACAGATCTTCCAGAATGGCATAAAACGATTGGTGTTAAGTGGATTTACAAAACAAAGCTCAAAGAGAATGGGGAGGTTGATAAATTCAAAGCTCGCTTGGTGGCAAAGGGTTACAAGCAAGAGTTTGGCATTGATTATCAAGAGGTTTTTACTCCAATTGCAAGGATGGATACCATTAGATTGGTGATTGCATTGGCAGCACAGAACTCATGGCTGACCTACCAGTTTGATGTGAAATCGGCCTTATTGCATGGAAATTTGCAAGAACAGGTATTTATTGATCAACCTCTTGATTATGTAAAATCTGGTTCTAAGCATAAAGTTTACAAACTGAAGAAAGCATTATATGGACTAAAACAAGCACCTAGAGCTTGGTATAGTCGAATTGATGCTTATTTCTTGAAGGAAGGTTTTCAAAAGTGCCTTTATGAGCATACACTTTACATCAAATTTGGAGATGGAGGTAAATCGATTATAGTATGCTTATATGTTGATGATTTAATTTATATTGAGAATGATTTTGGCATGTTCGAAAAGTTCAAGCAGTCCATGAAGCTTGAATTTGATATGACAGATTTGAGTTTGTTGCATTATTTTTTTTGTCTAAAAGTAGTACAGTTAGATCTTGGAATTTTTGTTTGTCAGAAAAAATATGTGCAAGAAGTTCTAGATTGATTTCAAATGAAGAACTGCAATTCTGTCACTACACCAGTTGACAAAGGTGTAAAGTTTGTGAAAGATTTAGGAGGCAGATCTGTGGACAACAAACTGTATAAGCATATTGTTAGAAGTTTGATGTATCTGACAGCAACAAGACTAGACATAATGCATGATGTAAGTTTGATTAACAGATATATAAAGCATCCAAAGGAGTTGCACTTGCAAACTGCCAAAAGAATTCTCATATATTTACATGGAATTGCAGATTTTGGACTATTCTACAAGAAGGGTGACCAGACAAATCTCGTAGGTTTTACAGACAATGATTATGCTAGAGATTTGGATGACAAAAAAAGCACTTCTGGGTATATTTTTATGTTGGGATCTGGTGTAGTTTCATGGTCTTCAAAGAAACAGCCAATTGTGACTTTGTCCACAACAGAAGCAGAGTATGTGGCAGCGACTTCTTGTGCTTGTCAAGCTATTTGGTTGAGAAGAGTTCTTGAAGAACTTGAGCTGAATCAACATGAGGCCACTTCAATTTATTGTGATAACAATTCAACTATCAAACTTTTTGGAAATCTGATTCTGCATGGGAGAAGCAAGCATATACATGTGAGGTATCATTTCTTGTGCAACTTGGTAGAAGACGAAACAATTGAGTTGACTTATTGCAGAACAGAAGATCAAGTGACTGATATATTCACAAAACCCCTCAAACTAACAGTTTTTTCAAAACTGAGAGAGTTACTTGGTGTTTGCAGCATGCAGAATTCAGTTTGAGAGAAGGTCTGCAAATTTCAGATTACAGACATGGTGTTTTCCAGATTTTTTTAAACTGAAGTCTGAAAACTTTTAGTTTAAGGAAGGGATTGCTGGAAATTAGATCCTATAATTTAAGAAGTTTAAGTTATTTATTTGTTTTAGGTTGTTATAATTTAAATTAGATTAAATAAAATTAGTTAGTTATCTTTTTAAATAATATTATCTTGTAAATCCTATTTAAAAGTTAGTTTATTTTCAATTTAATGAAATTGGATTTTCATTCCATCTTTTTCTTCTCGAAAATCCTTGATTTTTAACACCCGGAAGTCATAAGTTTTACATATCCCCATTAAAATTGGAAATTTTGTTCTCTTCTTGCAGAGAAGGAAGTGTACTTTTTTCCATACGTTTGCTGTCGTATTTGCATGATCAAAACGGAATTGTTTTCAGGTAGTGATCTTCAGCCCCCCAAAACGGTGCTTTCTTGATGAAAACATTCATGAAGCTACATTTGAATTGTCAGTAAAATTGAGATTATTCTTTTTTACTCTTTCTCTCTTCTGTATAATTACCAAACCTAGCTTATACATCTAGATTGTTCATTACGTATGCATCTGAGTTCTTTATTTTATTTTATTTGTTATATCAAAAAAATTAATTATTTAGTGTTATAAAAATATAAATTTTTAATTTTAATTTTAAATTAAAATTTTTATCTTAATAAAAATTAACATGATTAAACTCTCGCTGGTATCTTAGTTCTTAATTTCAACGCCGTTACTTCATTTTCCACGTTTATGATGCAGGCTGTATAGACCTTAAGGTCCATACAAATTTAATCAACTGTATACATCACTCATTTTCGAAATCGCTTTAGCTGCTCAGCATTATTGGAATGCGAGTCCTCTACGGAACATTGGTCAAATTCACAATGCGAGTCCTCTACGGAGCATTGGTCAAATTCACAATGCGAGTCCTCCACGGAACATGCGCATTGAATTTCTTAACCATTAATCCCCTCACTTCTAAAGAGCTGATTGCATACCAATCTTCTTCTTTTTCTCTCACGTTCATTTATGTGATATTTGATACACTCTTTTATAGTAGTACTAAGAACTTGAAATCAATTTTTGTCGATATAACACATAAAAAAATAGAAAAAAGATCACTAATAAAATTATTTAATATGTATATATTTTTTTTGTTTTTTACTTAGTTATTTCACTTATTAAATATAAGATTTTAAACTTTTTATTTAATTATCTTAATTTTTATTTTTGACATTAAATGTGTTATTTCTAATTTAACCATACTATTAATGGAGAAGAGAATTGTTATGATGTGAATATTTCATATTATTACATGAAAATATAAGGTGTTACATGGTAATCATATCATGTGCTACAAACTACATAATTTCCACTGGAACCTCCACTACTTACCATTCATCCTCCTCAATGACAGCTGCCCTTCTTGCAAGCTCATGCGCTACTCTGTTACCCTCTTCTACGAACATGCTGCGGTATGCTAACATCAAATCTGGATATATAGGAGCTTTCTACAATATTCCTCTAGCACTCCTCCTAGTTCAGTATGTAATATCAACCCTGTATTTCAAGCACTATTTTTTTTTTCTTTTTTTTATCTATTGAACGATATTTCAGTAAGGGAGCAACATTTTTTCAGTCCTAACTACTTACAACTTACAACGATAAATCTTCTACTCTCCTTTGAACTCCCTAACTAAAAGACATAGAGCATTCTTTCTGTGCACTGTAATCCCAGGGGTTGTATCAAAATCCAAATCATCCTCCTTCATCCCGGCAGGCATTTTCCAATCAAATTTGTAAAGCAGATTGGCCAGCGCAAGCTCCACTGTTGCAGCTCCCATATATATTGCGGGGCAAATTCTCCGACCAGACCCAAATGGTATTAGTTCATAGTCTTGACCTTTATAATCAATGGAACTACCCAAGAATCTTTCAGGTCGGAACGCTTCTGGGTTTGAGCCCCAAGCTTCTTTATCCCTTCCAACTGCCCATGCATTCACATAAACTAAGGTTTTGGCCGGAATTTCGTACCCTCCAAGGTTGCAGCTTCGAATTGTTTCTCGTGGTA